TTTTTTGATACCCTTGAATCCACCGTGTTGTGAATCCCATAAAGTGTCTACATCCCATTAGGTATATCTAGACAAAGTACTGTAATGTTACACGTCACATGAAGGGACACTTCATTTGGTTTTTTATGTATGTTAATTGCTAAGTACAGTCAATTTGATATGATTTGTATTTGCAGCAAAATAATTTTTGTAAAAAGATCCTGGCGATCATTGCAAAGCACTGGGGACGTATCAAGAACACTTAAGATACACGCACAGGATCCACCGGGAACCTATAGAATAGATCATTGAGCTGTTACATGAGAGCGTCGTCTCATCCTTAATTTATGAAACACTGAGGCAGATTAGAGTGCACTAACTTAGCCGGTTTGTAGGAGGAAAAAGCAACAAATCAAGCCATATGTGAAAACCGTAATGAACTCTGAGAGACTTGCTGCTGGTGAGCACGAGTAGATGATGCTATTATCAGACAAACAACTTATTAACCGTTCGCTCTGGTGAAGTAGTAGTGACGTCGGCCGGGTTTTTCGTGATCAATGTTACACCAGGTACAGCAGTGTCAGGAAAATTTCAATGCCTTAACTTGTGTTGTGCAAGATGACAGCAACGATCTGTCAGCTGCATGCCGTTTCCTTTCGTATTTATTGGTTAATAAGTCATGTTTAATGAGTAATAAAGATTAGAGTTTCTTTGCACACCTGTGTCATTGTCTGATTATTCTGACAGTTGTTTTTATTTATTTGGCACAAACGATTTTTAATTATACAACTTTTTTATAGAGACAAATCCACCCAAAAATGAAAATTCTGTCATTTACTCACCCTCATGCTGTTCCAGAGAAAAGAAAGAAAATATTTTGAAAATATATATTTGTGGGAGTCATGTCCATGAAATGAAAGTCAATGGAGCCCAAAGACTGTCTGTGTATTTTAAAATGTAGGTAACACTTTAGATAAGGTCTCATTTCTTAATATTAGCATTAAAGGAATAGTTTACCCAAAAACTTAAAAATTGTTTAAAGTTTACTCACCCTCAGGCCATCAAAGATGAGTTTGTGTCTTCATCAGAGGAGATTTGGAGAAATTTAGCAAAGTCCTCCCCACTGTCCCTAGTCCTTTGTAGTAGTAAATTATAGTTGCTCCCAAGTTGTGGAATGCTCTTCCTCTGAAACTGAGATCTGTGGACATTTTTAAAAGCAGCTGAAAACGCACTTGTTCAAACTTGCTTTTGTCCAATTTGCTTTTTTTATTTTTTTATTGTCATGTCTATTTTTAGTCTTCATTTTACAATTTTGTTGCAAAGCACTTTGTGACACTTGCTCTTGAAAGATGCTATAGAAATAAATATTACTTACTTCAGTTGTAAACTGTGCTCAGTCTGCATGTTTCTCTCCTGATTCAGACCAGACATCTTTTTCACTGGAGAAAGCAATATTATGGATTATACACATATTTCAGACATGCAATGGATTGAAGGTAAAAATGTCTTATTGGATTTGATTCTTACAAAAGCACATTAACTGATGGACATTGTGTGGTTTCATGATGATTATTGTGATGTTTTTATCAGCTGTTTGAACTCTCATTCTGACGGTACCCATTCACTGCAGAGGATCCATTGGTGAGCAAGTGACGTAATGCTACATTTCTCCAAATCTCTTCTGATGACCAAAAACTTCTCTACATCTTGGATGACCCGAGGATGAGAAAATTCAGCAAATTTAAATGTTTGGTTCAATTATTCCATTAAGAGGCATAAATATTGTTAGTTCTTGTTGACTGTTAAATGATTTCACCTTACGATAAGGTTTATAGAGGTCAACCGATATAGGTTTTCTAATGGCCGATGTGATATCTCAAAAGCAAAGTAACTGTCATTAAAAAAAAAAAATCAATGAGGTCCTATAAAATAAGACATCCAAAAATCTCTAAAAAAACACACCAGTCACAAAACACACGAGACGTAGAAAATGTGAGGCAGCACGTTGATTATAAAACCCAACGTTATTACTAAGACAACCAAAGGCAATTACGACAATTTGGGAATTTAAAAAAAAAACCTGAAAAAAGGAGAACATCTGTATATGTAAAGTGGTTATTACTACCAAAGTGGCCAGTTCTGACTGAAATACTCGAAATGGAAGATATATAAAATATCAATCCACCTGCCTGTATAACAATACAGTACATCAAAAGTACTAATTTACTGAACAGGAAATGCACCAGACTCACAGAGTTGTGCAGCAAACAATGTTGCTTATGTAGTACATCGGCCTGCTTCAGTTTCCATCACGTGGCAGAAAACTAATTTTACCCCTCCCTATGACTCGGCCTCACCCAGTGCAACACATCAAACACAGGCAGCCGAAACTATGCTTCAGTAATAATGAAACAAATGTAAGGAGAGAGTGCAGCTTGATTCTAAGGCAACATAGGTTTTTAAATGGTGCCCATGGGCACAGAGGATAGATGAAGAGTCTGTCTGTCAGGAAGCACATCCTTCCAACAGAGTGGCCCGTCACAGAGTCTGCAAAACGGTCAGTGTGTGGACCAGCTGATGAAGTTTCTGCAGCATCCTGACTGATAAAGTGAACCAGTGAGCACAGGATCAGAATGTCAAACTTTAGAGAAAAAGAGAGGGAGAAAGGACAGAGAATCATGGGACCACTAG